GATGGTTTGGTTGTGATAAGAGATTATATGTTCCTTAATGGAGCCCTGTTGCTTATGCATCGTTAAACGCCTAGAACGAGATGTTGTTGTCTTGCCTATATACTGGGTTTTTTGGAGCTTACAGTCCCCAAGTGGGCATTTGAAGGCATAGACGACGTTGGTCTCTTTTAAAGCGTTCTGCTTTGTGTCTGGAGAGTTCCTCATGAGTAGGCTGGCCGTTTTTCTGGTTTTATAGTAAATCGTCAGGTGTATCCTCTGATTTTTGTCTGTAGGGATAACGTTTCTATTAACAATATCTTTCAGGACCCTTTCCTCCATTTTATGAGCTGTGGAAAAGAAGTTCCTGTAAAATAGTCTAATAGGGGGTATAGGTGTTGTGTTAGTTGTCTCTTCAGAGGTTGCATGGCGTTTCACTTTCCTTCTTATGATGTCTTCGACGAAACCATTGGAGAAGCCGTTGTTGACTAGGACCTGCCTTACCCTACAGAGTTCTTGTATATATATATTTATATATATATATGTCGTACCTAGTAGCCAGAATTCACTTTTCAGCCTACAATGCAAGGCCCGATTTGCCTGATAAGCCAAATTTTCATGAATTAATATATTTTCTCTATTTTTTTTCTTATGAAATGATAAAGCAACCCATTTCATAATGTAAGAGGTCAATTTTTTTTATTGGAGTTAAAATTAACGTAGATATATGACCGAACCTAACCAACCCTACCTAACCTAACCTAACCTATCTCTATCGGTTAGGTTAGGTTAGGTAGCCGAAAAAGTTAGGTTAGGTTAGGTTAGGTAGGTTAGGTAGTCGAAAAGCAATTAATTCATGAAAACTTGGCTTATTAGGCAAATCGGGCCTTGTATAGTAGGCTCAGAAGTGAGTTCTGGCTACTAGGTACGACATATATATATATATATATATTTATATATATATATATATATATATATATATATATATATATATATATATATATATATATATATATTTATATATATATATGTCGTACCTAGTAGCCAGAACTCACTTCTCAGCCTACTATGCAAGGCCCGATTTGCCTAATAAGCCAAGTTTTCCTGAATTAATATATTTTCTCTAGTTTTTTCTTATGAAATGATAAAGCTACCCATTTCATTATATATGAGGTCATTTTTTTTTATTTGAGTTAAAATTAACGTAGATATATGACCAAACCTAACCAACCCTACCTAACCTAACCTAACCTATCTGTATAGGTTAGGTTAAGTTAGGTAGCCAAAAAAGTTAGGATAGGTTAGGTTAGGTAGGTTAGGTAGTTGAAAAACAATTAATTCATGAAAACTTGGCTTATTAGGCAAATCGGGCCTTGAATAGTAGGCTGAGAAGTGAGTTCTGGCTACTAGGTACGACATATATATATATATATATATATATATATATATATATATATATATATATATATATATATATATATATATATATATATATATATATATATATATAATATATATATATAAATATATATATATATATATATATATATATATATATATATATATATATATATATATATATATATATATATATATATATATATACATACATATATATATATATAAATAAAAAAAAATAATAGGGGTGGTAGGAGAGGAAAAGATTAAAGTATTCAGTGAGAATCCACAAGGTCTTCTCTGAACACTATTTATTTTCTTCTTCGAGGATGTGTGTCCCTTTAATTAAACCAGTGGTGGTACCCCTAAATATATATATATATATATATATATATATATATATATGCGGAATATCCACAGAGAAATATGAAATGAGGTGAACGTTTCGGCTTTGTTAAAGCCTTTGTCAACACCAGACTGACTGAGTCAGTCTGGTGTTGACAAAGGCTTTAACAAAGCCGAAACGTTCACCTCATTTCATATTTCTCTGTGGATTTTCCGCATAAAATGATCAGTGTTTTGTGATCGTCAATTGCATATATATATATATATATATATATATATATATATATATATATATATATATATATATATATATATATATATATATATATATATATATATATATATATATATATATATATATATATATATATATATATATATATATATATATATATCACACTTGTTGTTGTTGTTGTTGTTAAAGATTTGCTACCTGGAACAAAAGTTCCAAGTAACACGGGCTATGGTGAGCCCATCACACACTTGTCACGGCCCTGGGAACAATACAAGAAATTAAGACCACACTGTGGTACACTCCACAATAATCATTGCCAGGAATCACTGATGTTACACACACTAACCTGAGCGATCAGTGTGGGAATTCCACACCTGCAAGACTACACATGGAAATGATATCACTCCGTCCCACGGACGATCAAAAATGATTAATTACCACAATGGAATAATATAATTATTACATAGACATCCTCTCAGTCCTTGGCTAATCTTGGTATACTCTATTCCCGTGTGTACCCACACACACACACACACAGTACGTCTGTGTACACAAGATGTAAGTCCTTCTGGACTGACAAGATGACAGTGAAGGGTGATTATCTCCTCATCCACACTTCACTTCACCTCACAGGTGCTGGTGTGACAATGTGACGGAACACTTGACTTTCGAATTCAAGCTTTTAGAGACTAACTGATCACCAGAAATACACACATAGGTACTTATTCATTCATACTGCCGGCTAACACACCATTCCCATACATCAGGCACCCCGCTACGGGTGGCTGACTCGCTCACGGCAGTGGTTGGTGGCGTAGGCGGTGGTACTACCTCACGTGGTATTTTACGTACTGGCGCGCACTCGAACCCCACCCACTCCCAACACGGCTCGGTTCGCACCCTCGATCCACCGGTGAAGAGAAGCGTTCGTACCCAGGTGACGCGCACAACGATAGCGTCTTACACAAACATGGGAAATCTGCCTTAAAACACTGACACGAATTTCCCCGTTCCCATCGACTGCTACAGAGCACTAACAGGAATTTTTTTTATGATCACTGGTATGGGATCTACGAGTCTGTTACTGCTCGTATGCACATTACCCCACAATCCCAGATCACAAGATCTCCTCTACCCACTGTACACAATGTCTTTCTCCCCTCCATGCGACGACTTCGGCCGGATTCTGTGACGACCGCTGTCGTTGGTGAAGCTGGAGGTGAAGCAGTTGAGTAGTCAAGCCACCACGACGCCCTATACTCAATTTGGCCAAATTGAGTACCGAGAGCATCTTGACAAAGTGGCAGCTGGGTTCAGAATGAAGCTTACACCCGCGATTCCCGCGTTCTATTCGAAATAACCAATGAGAGGAAGGCATACAGCGGCCTACCCCTCTCAACCAATCAGCGACGATGTAGCAAGGCCCCTAGGGCAACTCCAAGATGGCCGACCAACATGGCGGCTCAAGATGATTACTAAGATGGCGGCTGTTTCCATGACGACGACTGGCTAGCGCGCGGGAGGCCCACAGGTCACCCCACGCCTGCAGAGGCCTAGCTGTTCCCGCGCAAACTCGTCTCGCTCAAGCCATACAATGAGATGATGCTATCGGTATATCTCTGTCCACAGACGTGCTACCCCGGCCAGGGTAACATTTCTGGACTGCTGATGACTGGGGCTCTCACATGAGCCCAAACACTAGATGTTTCGGTTGCTGGATACCAATTTTAAGTCCGCCCACTTAACAAGTGCACTTAACAAGTGTACTGGCTCCCACAGGCATAAGAGCACTATTGTAAGTGAGCTGGTGAACAATCCCCTCACAGTCTTCTTTGGAGCTCTGTGCTGGGTGATGGTCGTCCTTGGTGCTCTGTGCAGGGTGATAGTCGTCGCTGATGTTCTGTGCTGGATGATGGTCGTCGCTGGTGCTCTCTGCTGCGTGATGGTCGTCGCTGGTGCTCTGTGATGGGTGATGGTCGTCGCTGGTGCTCTGTGATGGGTGATGGTCGTCGCTGGTGCTCTGTGCTGGGTGGAAGTCGTCTTTGGTGCACTAGGCTGGGTGATGGTCGTCGCTGGTGCTCTGGACTGGGTGGTCGTCGTCGCTGGTGCTCTGGGCTGGGTGGTCGTCATCGCTTGTGCTCTGGGCTGGGTGGTGGCCGTCGCTGGTGCTCTGTGCTGGGTGATGGCCATCTTTGGTGCTCTGTGCTGGGTGGTGGTCGTCGCTGGTGCTCTGGGCTGGGTGGTGGTCGTCGCTGGTGCTCTGTGCAGGGTGGTGGTCGTCGCTGGTGCACTGTGCTGGGTGGTGGTCGTCTTTGGTGCTCTGTGCTGGGTGATGGTCGTCTTTGGTGCTCTGTGCTGGGTGATGGTCGTCGCTGGTGCTCTGTGCTGGGTGGTGGTTGTCGCTGGTGCTCTTGGCTGGGTGGTGGTCGTCGATGGTGCTCTGTGCTGGGTGGTGGTCGTCTTTGGGGCTCTGTGCTAGGTGATGGTCGTCGCTGATGTTCTGTGATGGTTGATGGTCGTCCTTGGTGCTCTGTGCAGGGTGATGGTCGTCGCGGATGTTCTGTGCTGGGTGATGGTCGTCGCTAGTACTCTGTGCTGGGTGATGGTCGTCGCTGGTGGTCTGTGATGGGTGATGGTCGTCGCTGGTGCTCTGTGCTGGGTGATGGTCGTCGCTGGTGCTCTGTGCTGGAAGGTGGTCGTTTTTGGTGCTCTGTGCTGGGTGGTGGTCGTCTTTGGTGCTCTGTGCTGGGTGGTGGTCGTTTTTGGTGCTCTGTGCAGGGTGATGGTCGTCGCTGGTGCTCTGTGCTGGGTGATGGTCGTCGCTGGTGCTCTGTGCTGGGTGATGGTCGTCGCTGGTGCTCTGTGCTGGGTGGTGGTCGTCGCTGGTGCTCTGGGCTGGGTGGTGGTCGTCGCTGGTGCTCTGTGCTGGGTGGTGGTCGTCGCGGATGTTCTATGCTGGGTGATGGTCGTCGCTGGTGCTCTGTGATGGGGGATGATCGTCGCTGGTGGTCTGTGATGGGGAATGGTCGTCGCTGGTGCTCTGTGCTGGGTGATGGTCGTCGCTGGTGCTCTGTGCTGGAAGGTGGTCGTTTTTGGTGCTCTGTGCTGGGTGGTGGTCGTCTTTGGTGCTCTGTGCTGGGTGGTGGTCGTTTTTGGTGCTCTGTGCTGGGTGAGGGTCGTCGCTGGTGCTCTGTGCTGGGTGAGGGTCGTCGCTGGTGCTCTGTGATGGTCGCCTTTGGTGCTCTGTGCAGGGTGATGGTCGTCGCTGGTGCTCTGTGCTCGAAGGTGGTCGTTTTTGGTGCTCTGTGCTGGCTGGTGGTCGTCTTTGGTGCTCTGTGCTTGGTGGTGGTCGTCTTTGGTGCTCTGTGCTGGGTGAGGGTCGTCGCTGGTGCTCTGTGATGGTCGCCTTTGGTGCTCTGTGCAGGGTGATGGTCGTCGCTGGTGTTCTGTGCTGGGTGATGGTCGTCGCTGGTGCTCTGTGCTGGGTGATTGTCGTCGTTGGTGCTCTGTGCTGGGTGAGGGTCGTCGTTGGTGCTCTGTGATGGTCGCCTTTGGTGCTCTGTGCAGGGTGATTGTCGTCGCTGGTGCTCTGTGCTGGGTGATGGTCGTCGCTGGTGCTCTGTGCTGGGTGATTGTCGTCGTTGGTGCTCTGTGCTAGGTGGTGTTCGTCGCTGGTGCTCTGTGCTAGGTGGTGTTCGTCGCTGGTGCTCTGGGCTGGGTGGTGGTCGTCGCTGGTGCTCTGGGCTTGGTATTGGTCGTCGCTGGTGCTCTGTGCTGGGTGGTGGTCGTCTTTGGTGCTCTGTGCTGGGTGATGGTCGTCTTTGGTGCTCTGTGCTGGGTGATGGTCTTCGCTGGTGCTCTTGGCTGGGTGGTGGTCGTCGCTGGTGCTCTGTGCTGGGTGGTGGTTGTCGCTGGTGCTCTGTGCGGGGTGGTGGTCGTCGCTGGTGCTCTGGGCTGCGTGGTGGTTGTCGCTGGTGCTCTGTGCTGGGTGGTGGTCATCTTTGGTGCTCTGTGCTGGGTGGTGGTCGTCTTTGGGGCTCTGTGCTGGTTGATGGTCGTCCTTGGTGCTCTGTGCAGGGTGATGGTCGTCGCGGATGTTCTGTGCTGGGTGATGGTCGTCGCTGGTGCTCTGTGATGGGGGATGGTCGTCACTGGTGCTCTGTGCTGGGTGATGGTCGTCGCTGGTGCTCTGTGCTGGAAGGTGGTCGTTTTTGGTGCTCTGTGCTGGGTGGTGGTCGTCTTTGGTGCTCTGTGCTGGGTGGTAGTCGTCATTGGTGCTCTGTGCTGGGTGGCGGTCGTCTTTGGTGCTCTTTGCTGGTCGTCTTTGGTGTTCTGTGCAGGGTGATGGTCGTCGTTGGTGCTCTGTGCTGGGTGATGGTCGTCGCTGGTGCTCTGTGCTGGGTGATGGTCGTCGCTGGTGCTCTGTGCTGGGTGTTTGTCGTCGCTGGTGCTCTGTGCTGGGTGATGGTCGTCGCTGGTGCTCTGTGCTGGGTGATGGTCGTCGCTGATGCTCTGTGCTGGGTAATGGTTCTCGCTGGTGGTCTGTGCTGGGTGGTGGTCGTCGCTGATGCTCTGTGCTGGGTGATGGTCGTCGCTGGTGCTCTGTGCTGGGTGATGGTCGTCGCTGGTGCTCTGTGCTGGGTAATGGTTCTCGCTGGTGCTCTGTGCTGGATGATGGTCGTCGCTGGTGCTCTGTGCTGGGTGATGGTCGTCGCTGATGCTCTGTGCTGGGTAATGTTTCTCGCTGGTGCTCTGTGCTGGATGATGGTCGTCGCTGGTGCTCTGTGCTGGGTGATGGTCGTCGCTGATGCTCTGTGCTGGGTAATGTTTCTCGCTGGTGCTCTGTGCTGGATGATGGTCGTCGCTGGTGCTCTGTGCTGGGTGATGGTCGTCGCTGGTGCTCTGTGCTGGGTGATGGTCTTCGCTGGTGCTCTGTGCTGGGTGATGGTCGTCGCTGGTGCTCTGTGCTGGATGATGGTCGTCGCTGGTGCTCTGTGCTGGGTGATGGTTCTCGCTGGTGGTCTGTGTTGGGTGATGGTCGTTGTTGGTACTCTCTGCTGTGTGTTGATCAACTCTGGTGTTCACTTCTGTGTATAGGTTATCTCTGATGTTTTCAGTTGAGTGTGGGTTATCTCTGCCGGTATCCATTGACATTGAATCTTCTTCATCAGTCAATGGATAAGGATGGATAAGGACTGTATTCTTTGCTAGGTGTTGATAAACTCTGGTGTTCTTGGCTGAGTATGGGTCATCTCAGGTGTTCTCTGCGGTGTGTTAGTCTTCGCTGTTTTTTTCTGCTGCAGGAAACTAGTGTAAATACATCAATTACTTTTTAAGTAGGACACACCCTCCCGGACTCCCATCCAATCACTGTGGATCTAATTGGAATTTTATAAATGACGACGGCCAATGAGAAACCGCGCTTCGCCTGCAGCGCAAATAAAAACTCTTGAGATGACTCCAGTGATTCATTGTTATTGTGGAGCTGGTGCGGCTAGTACCTCTCCACCCGCAACTCAACACGCTGGTAATATATAATTTTGCTTGATTCCTTATTTGCCTGCTTTGTATCTCATTATTTTTTTCTTTCTTTCTTTCTTCTTTCTTTCTTTCTTTCTTTCTTTCTTTCTTTCTTTCTTTCTTTCTTTCTTTCTTTCTTTCTTTCTTTCTTTTTTTTTTTTTTTTTCTTTCTTTCTTTCTTTCTTTCTTTCTCTCTCTCTCTCTCTCTCTCTCTCTCTCTCTCTCTCTCTCTCTCTCTCTCTCTCTCTCTCTCTCTCTCTCTCTCTCTCTCTCTCTCTCTCTCTCTCTCTCTCTCTCTCTCTCTCTCTAATTATTTATCTCGTTATTAAATGTGGCTGTCGATTATTTCGTTAATGTTCTTTTCAATATATATTTAGTGCAGGTTTGGGTGTGTGTAGAAGCGAGGTGATCTTCGATAAAGCTTTGTAGTTCGTGAATTTTTCAATTTGGATTTTTCCTTATGGTGAATTGTTTAGTTCTTGCCATTACCGCATTCTGGAGACTTCCATGCTATGTATTATATATTGTGCGTTCGTCTGTTAGTTAGAAAAAATGATTGTAATCATTTTAATTTTCAAATTTTGTATGTAAGTTATTCTAAATATAACTTAAATAAGCTCATTTTCATAAAACTGGGATTTTGAGTCAATATTTCCTGGCAGACTATTCACCTAAATCACGAATAAAACTTAATTATGACTCTTCCATCTATGCAAATTTTTGTATTCTATGGCATAGACACTTATTATTATTTTCTGTGAAGACCTCTTCGAATCATCTGTTTATTTCCAAAAATACACACTTCATTATCTTCTAAGATTGTGTCTGAATATAAATTCATATCAAACTTACTGTCCAATTGTCTTTCATCTCTTTTTATGCCGTGTATGGCCGATAGTCTTTTTTTGGTTTGTTTTACCGACCATCTCAAGAATTGTGTCATGCTAAAGTATGGTTATTGTTCTATGGAGATGCGCATCCTTGGTTGTTGGACAAATAAACGGTGGGTATTGTAGTAATAAACATTCAGCCATTGATATTTGATTAAGTTGATTCATGGAGATTCGGCTAAGAATCGTAGAACACTTTACCTCACCATTACTAGATCAGTCCAAAGTAAAATGCCTGCTACGGTGAACAATGTGCTGTGCCTTAGGAATTTGATTTTTTTTGGCCTACTATACTTAATCAAGCTTCAGGAGATGTTGAAGATAGCAGTGATCTCGAACATTTGATTATATATGAGGCAGAACTACCATGGTCATTAGTTCGTCGTTAACTTTCTCATGAAATTAGGTTTCATTAGGACAAAGTATCAATAACAATCGTTTAATAATAAAACTACATGATTGCTTACATAATATAAAGGTAATACGATACTTTAACGAATGGACCACCAAGGCTATTAATATTCTCTCAGGACATTTGCCCCCTTTATAAGTATGATTCTAACTAAGCTACTGAGTTTTGTGTTAATATGTGTAACTTACCTTTCCACGCCCAGAGCCTTAGTTGTAGTCCAACACTGATATCATAGTTCTCAGATTTCTCAACAGTTAAATGATATTATAATTAGTGCATAGGTTCGCTAGAGAATACCCAGCGCATAGGTTCGAATCCTCATCACTGCTCCGGAGAATTTTCTCATTGATATATCACGATTATGTGATTTTTCTGTGTATAATAATTAGGTCCCATCACATTCTAAGTAGACTCACTTTGCATTACTGGACTGGCGAGGAACTGTGTTATTCACTGGTACATCATTATACATTTTCCATTGATATTACAGACCTCATATTTCCATACACGTGTGCTCTATCGAGATTTCTTGTGAATGACCTCATTCTACAATCTGCACCTTCACAAAAACTTTTCTTAATCTGTTGATGTAGTTAGCTTCTACGAACGAACGAACGAACGAACGAACGAACGAAGCTACAGGATAAGATACCCGTTGGTCGAGCATGAAAGTGGAGACAGCTGAAGAGAAGTTGTTGAGGGGAAGCGCTGAAGTTGTAAGAAAGAGCCAGAGCTAAACCCAGTTGTGTGTCTTGAGTCGATTCTGGATCAATCCCACAACTGGCTAGGCGCTCATTCGGGTCAGAAAGGCCGGCTTTGGCGGTGCTTCTTCATTCTAGGGCTGAGTGGACAGCGCTTCGGATTCGTAGTCCAGAGATTCCGTATTCGATCTCCGGTGGAGGTGGATAAAGATGGGCAAAAAGTTTCTTTCACCCTAATGGCTCTGTTACCTATCATGAAATAGGTACCTGGGAGTTAAACTGCTGCTACGGGCTGCTTCCTGGTGGTGTGTATAACAAAAAGGAGGCCTGGTTGAGGAGCGGGCCGTGGGGACGCTAAGCCCCGAAATCATCTCAAGATAACCTCAAGATAGGTTGTGACAGTCTGTCTTCTGGTGGTGTCTTCTTTCTTCTCTTGTGTCTTTTTTCTTCTTACTTCATCATCTTCTTCCTCTGTTGCCGTAGCTGCATATGGTGAGCTTTTAGGTTCTGAAGGTCAGGAGAGATGAGGTTTGGTAAGAAAGTGGACTCGTTCCACTCAGTTAGGATGGAAACTGCAGGAACTTGGCTCACACGTGCCCGTTTTGGATTGTCCACTAGAAGTTCTTCATATTGCTTGTTGTAGATTCAGCTGGTAAATTTCCTAAAATCAGTGGATCCATAAGCGGTTTTATCTCGTTGCAGAAACAGGTCTTGCATAGTAGGAGAGTAGAGGTTCGATGCCTCGGGTGAGTGAGCTTCAACATCAATAAAGGCAGTAGAATCATCAGCCAGTGAAAAGCTGAGGTGAGATGAAGAATAAGCTCGTACAAGTACTGGAGATGTTTGCAGGGTAGGTGACGAGTAAGCTTTTGCTAGTACTGGAGACGTTTGCATTGAGTCAGTTGAGACGTCATGCTGAGGAAGTGTAGGAGCGGTAGATTCAGGAAGCAGCGTGGCCAGTGCAGATTAATGGGGGTGAACAAATCCACAGGGGCCGGGATGAGGGTTCGAACCTACGTCCGGGATGATCTCTGACGCGCTTTAGTCGATTGCCCCACGACATGGTCAAACGAATTGCAACTAGATGTGCAACTGCCCTCACACGGATCCCACAGCGTCTTCGAGACACAAATACACCTATTCTGTGTGTATTGATGGGAGGGGGGGGTGGGTGGTAGGCAGGAGACAGGAGATCAGCGAGTACAGCAGGAGAGAAGGTGATGTCAGAAGTTGAAGAGGTTGTAGTAGCAGACGTTGAAGTCGTGATGAGATCCTCTGAAACAGTAAATGTTGGGAGTCCACTTGCAATGTAGAGTTTGTTGAGAATTCAGGCGAATTCCTTGAAGTTTGGGCCTGCTATCTTGTCAGCCTGAAATGGTTAGTGCATAAACAGTACTAATTACGGTATTGTGAGCAGGCACCTGTTGTGAAGGTTGGATTGATGCTTGGCCGGAGTGTGGCTACTGGTGACTGCTGGGTCGATGAGGGGCTGGCGGACTGGGAGCTAGGTCCCCATTGGCTTGCAGATACGGTAGCTCTTCAACCTTCCTGAAGCGCCGGGATGTTGGCAGCTTGAACGATGAAACTCGTTAGTACACTACGAGTTGGGGAGGTCTACCTGGCGTCGGACATCTTCTTGGTTCTTCAAGTCTTCGGGGGCACGCAGCGGAGACGGCAGCATGTTCACCTTCACAGAGAAGGCACCGAAGAAAGTCGTTGATACAGTGCTGTATCAACGACTTTCGTTGCACTTCCTGTATCAACGGTGCACTTGCTGCACCGTTGGTACTGGGAAGTGCACGTAGCTGCAGCACTTGAAGCACTGACGAAGTCTGTAGTAGTAGTGCTCCTTGGTGATCTGGCGAGATGTACTGTCGATACCAAAGCACCGGAAGCCGTTGTCAATAGCAAAGGTAACTTCCAAAGGCGATGTAAAGATGACCTTCATCGTGGAGAGGTGGCTGTCCTTTACAGGAATGAACTTAACAGTGACAGCGGTCAAGAAAGTGTTCTGCTCGTTAATGCTGGTGACGACGTCGATGGCTAGCTTCTTCAAAGAATAGGGAATTTACTCTCCAAACAAACACTGTCCTGACTGCGAGGTAGTGACATAGTGGGGTGAAGATCAGGTGCGCATCCTCAAGAGCAGTGAGGGTGGTAAGGTCGAACAGACCTTGTAATGCTGAACAGCAGTCGGGGTCCTCCGTCGTCGACGACGTCCAGTGGTGCAACAGTAGTTTTTAGAAGTCCAAGATCTATGATCGGGTAAGGGTCCGGTTCCCTCTGAATCGCACCTTGATCCGGTCGATCATGGTACTTAAGGCATAGTAACAGAAGGTTCCACTTTGCTAAGGAGACCTTCCGTCTCTTCCCGGTATAATGCACCAGTCTGGGCGCTCTATCAGCTTCTACTATTTTACTCTCTGTTTAAAACAACTTGCTGGCTGCTCTTAAACTCACGAAAGTTCTATGCTAGTCTAATTTCAGCATGTAGGAAACTTACATGCGCTCTCTCTCTCTCTTTCTCTTACGTTATTGTTCATCTTAAACATCTTCTCTGTCTCATCAAGACACTTTACCCTTTTCTATGTCTCGTTCGCTATGTTTCTTTATTCCGACAGTGTCATTACGGGCCACTCACTTGGTCGGTAATATCAGTTAAACTCTCAGTTCAAAAATGCTAGGACCATTCTTGTAACAAATCTCCACAGTTCCATGTCTTCATTTTGTGCTTTTGAAAAGGGGAGCTCAATGTTCGTACATCATTCACCAGCATTAGTCCGATATATGTTGCATGTTACATTCTGTCCTTATCTAGTTTATTAGAGGTTGTCCTCATTTCCGCCGCATAATCATCTGTATGTCACGACCGTGAAACAATTATGTATACTTCCGGAGATGGCTTCGACGCTGTCAGTTAATATTCTAGATACTATAGACCAATATTTGGTATCTGGGATACCAAAAGTATCCCATATACTTTTATTAGCCATTAAACATTTTTTTACCATTTCTTAAAATGTTTTGTCTTAAGTTGGTAAGCGATAAAGAGTAACAAGTATTGCCATTAGTATAAGTTTATCGTAGTTTGTTTTTCTAAAGTTACTAACTGATAATGAGTAGCAAGTTTAGTCTTTAGTAAAAAATTTTCCTTATTATGCTTTGTGTTAAGTTGTTACAGAAAACAGTACTGATAGTATAAATATGTTACAGAGAAGTAAGATAATTTTGTTGTTTGTTAAAAAAAAAATGTTAGTCTAGTTTCAATGTTACATTAAAAGAGTATTCATTGTTTAGATATGATACAGAGAGATTGTTCTACTTTTTCCTTTGTTACATATATCATTATTCATAGTATAGATTTTGTGAAACGATTATGCTCATATAGTTCTGTTGTTGCATAAAACAGCAATTTTAATTTAGTTTTGTTTCAGAAAAGTTATACTAGTCTAGTTTTGTTGTTAAATAAAAAAAAAAAACGGTGTTAGTTATATTTCAGAAAAATTATGCTAGTGTATTTTTGTTTTTACATAAAAAAGAATTGTAAATTTAGTTTTCTTAGCAAGTTTTGTAGTTACATGAAACAGTTTTGTAAACTTATGTCTTGGAATGATTTGACTTAGTAAGAGTTAGAGATGTAATATTAAATTGTTAATTGATAAAGAGTAGCATGTTATGAATTAGTAAGTTTTTGCTCTAGAAAATGTGAGACTGATTGCACCGAAAACAAGTAAGAAGTTACCTGATACACAAAAGTAATATAATTTTTTAAAGAGCACTTCTACATATTCTCCTAAACATGGTTAACAGTTATTGGAATATGTTGTAGGGAAATGTCTGTCTGTCTGTCTTAACTGCCCTTTGTCTGTTCATCTGACTGTCTTTGTCTAACAGAATTCTCTTAGTGGGTTAAGGTGTCAGTCTTGTTCCTATTCTGCGCAAGCTAAGTTTATTTTCTGAACTTTTAAAACTACTAGGTTCACTCTTAAAGACGTGGATGATGTTCAATATGGATATGCGATGTGGATTAGATGCTTAGATTGTATGATTCATAGTATGATGATTCGATCATATCATGAGTGATGTGCTTTCATATATATATATATATATATATATATATATATATATATATATATATATATATATATATATATATATATATATATATATATATATATATATATATATATATATATATATATATATATATATATATATATATATATATATATATATATATATATATATATATATATATGTCGTACCTAGTAGCCAGAACTCACTTCTCAGCCTACTATTCAAGGCCCGATTTGCCTAATAAGCCAAGTTTTCATGAATTAATATATTTACTATAATTTTTTTCTTATGAAATGATAAAGCTACCCTTTTCACTATGTATGAGGTCAATTTTTTTTATTGGAGTTAAAATTAACGTAGATATATGACCGAACCTAACCAACCCTACCTAACCTAACCTAACCTATATATATAGGTAAGGTTAGGTTAGGTAACCAAAAAAAGCTAGGTTAGGTTAGGTTAGGTAGGTTAGGTAGACGCAAAAACATTAATTCATGAAAACTTGGCTTATTAGGCAAATCGGGCCTTGCATAGTAGGCTGAGAAGTGAGTTCTGGCTACTAGGTACGACATATATATATATAACTTTTTAGACACTCAACCCACCAGGGGACTCGAACACTGGCCAACAAGGTGGCAGTTGCATGCTGTATCCACTACACCATACTTCAAAGCCATAAAGAGAGGTAGGAATTCTGGGGTATTTAACCAACCAGAACTCCAATCCTCTCCCAGGCAATGAGATAGTGTGGGACCTCTAATGCTCTTTCATCGGTTCCTGTTATATGGGAAAACTCAGTGCCAAATGCTTAATGCACAGACTACCCTATTCCAGTAGCTGAAGTTTATAACTTTTTAGACACTCAACCCACCAGGGGACTCGAACACTGGCCAACAAGGTGGCAGACATTTCCATACGCATATCCAGGTTTATATTCCCCAATGATCTTTGGCGACAAGAGGTGACAAGTCGCCAATATATGTCATTCTTAAAAAAGACGAATATCTGGTGAAAATGAACATCATACTCTCTGACCAAACTAAGTTCCAAAGGGTAACGAAGGACACTACAGCCGAATTAAAAGCAAAGGTCAACAAACTGATCGAAAACGTGAACGCCAAGAAATCCGGACTCCACCTGCCAAAGATCATTGGGAAATATAAACCTGGATATGCGTATGGAAATGTCAAGACACACAAGCCTGGAAACCCACTTCGGCCAATCATTAGCCAGATACCCACACCCACGTACAGACTGGCGAAGCGACTCAACGGCCTGCTGACTCCTTATGTTCCCTGCGCCTTCAGCCTGAAGTCTCCAAAGGAATTTGTTGACTTACTGCGGGGCACACGGGCCACAAGGATAAGAGCCTCGTTGGACGTAGAATCGCTGTTTACCAATGTACCTGTGGACGAGACAATCGGGATGATAGCCGACAGAGTGTATCGTGATCCAGCCTGTACTCCTCTTGACATACCAGAAAATATTCTGAGGAAACTACTCCAAGCTTGTACTAAAGAGGCACCCTTCTTGAGCCCGGATGGGCACATGTATAAGCAAGTAGATGGGGTCGCCATGGGTTCTCCCCTAGATGTCCTGTTTGCAAACTTCTACATGGGTACCATCGAGCAAAAAGTCTTAGTCGACATGAACTTGAAACCGGCCATATACTGCAGGTATGTTGACGACATTTTTACACAGGTACCTGATGTCAGACATCTGCAGGAGCTGAAGGAGGCATTTGAGCAGAGTTCCGTGCTGCGTTTCACTTACGAGATGGAAAAGGATGGGAAGCTGCCCTTTCTAGATGTAACAGTCATGGAAAAGAGCGAAGGTTTCCACACTGCAGTCTACACTAAGGAAACGAACATAGGAATGTGCCTAAATGCCAACAGCGACTGCCCAGACAGGTACAAGAGGAGTGTTGTTAACGCATATGTCGACCGTGCTCTCAGCCACAGCTCAGAATGGAAGCAAGTCGACGAAGAACTCTGTAGGGTAAGGCAGGTCCTAGTCAACAACGGCTTCTCCAATGGTTTCGTCGAAGACATCATAAGAAGGAAAGTGAAACGCCATGCAACCTTGAAGAGACAACTAACACAACACCTATACCCCCTATTAGACTATTTTACAGGAACTTCTTTTCCACAGCTCATAAAACGGAGGAAAGGGTCCTGAAAGATATTGTTAATAGAAACGTTATCCCTACAGACAAAAATCAGAGGATATAACTGACGATTTACTATAAAACCAGAAAAACGGCCAGCCTACTCATGAGAAACTCTCCAGACACAAAACAGAACGCTTTAAAAGAGACTAACGTCGTCTATGCCTTCAAATGCCCTCTTGGGGACTGTAAGCTCCAAAAAACCCAGTATATAGGCAAGACAACAACATCTCTTTCTAGGCGTTTAACGATGCATAAGCAACAGGGCTCCATTAAGGAACATATAATATCTTCCCACAACCAAACCATCGCCAGAGAAATCCTAGTAAACAACACAGAAATCATCGATAGATACAGCGATAGCAGGCAGCTTGACGTTTGCGAGGCACTACACATCAAGAAGTCAACACCAGCAATCAACAGCCAATTAATGCACA